CATAAGATATCATCAGTTTTACTTTAGATAATTCCATAAAGGCAATCGAAATATTAAATAAACAATGGATTATTGGAACGAAGTACAAATACAGGTTTAAAAAATTATTACTGGTTAAAAAAAAAGCCCTCTCAGAATTAACCCATGAAATCAAAAATTTCACGAATACCATTTGGGAACCTTATTTCATGTGTATTATATATAATGTAAAACATTTGTGCTCAAAAAACAAATGTCAAAAAAAGTCAAAAAACGGATGCAATTTTTTTTCGCGCAGAAAATGAAACAAACTGAGCTATAAATAGGACAAAATTGAAAGGATGCAGGAGAATAGCTCCTATAAGCAAACTACTCGCCATATTTGTTTTACTTTTATATCATGCCCTACCAACCAGGCTATCCTGGTTGGGGCATGGGGTCCATGCCAAGAGGTTGTGAGTTCGATCCCCGCTGGGGGAAAACTCCCCGTGTAGTAAATGGTGATAGATGCACGTTAAATCTGTAGGGTCACAAAGTCCTCCAAATACATAAAACAAATCAATACCTCTGGGGAAAGCCATGATGGCTCAGGGGATAGAGCATTCGCCCTCCAATGAGAAGAACCGGGTTCGAATCGCAGCGATGACTGGTAGATACGAGCGGTCGTATTCTTGGTCATAGATGGAGTCACTGAAGAACAAGAAACGCACCCTCTGCATTAAATTTGCTTGGTTTCGCCAAACAGGTTTGCTGATATTGGCAAGTTATATTAGAAACAACAACAACATTTATATAATGCAGTCACATGTGCAGCATAACTAGCTTAGTCGGTTAGAGAGTCAAACTCAAACGCGAAGGTTTTAGTTTCAATCCTCCTTCATGGGCCAGTGTTGCAACTGTGATGAAGTGCTATGTTTTTGACAGTTTCCGTTATTGTGGTTTAACTATGCAATATTTTACGGATGAATTAAATAGTTAGCATCCATAATTATGTAATTAGGTTAATTAAGCTTTTGTAGATTAAACACTATAAATACAATTATGGTCAGTACTAAATATACAAAGATGAGTAAATATTGAGAAAAAATAAAAGGTAATAATAAAAAAAAATTGACGAATCCACTAAAACAAAAAAATATGAAATAAAATAATTTAAAAACACTAAAAAACTGAAAAAGGTAACATCTTTCCCATGCTTCTGCTCGAAAAAAGTGGGAAATAAAATTCTATATGTAACTGTTCTATATGTTCTATATGTAACTTTATGTAGTTGATAAGATCTCAGTTAATTTTCCATAACATTTTGTTTACATTAAAATTTTTTATATATATTTTAATGTATCATTTATATTATATTTCTTTAAATATTTCTTGTTTTTACAATAATGTGTTACAAGTATTTATTTTGAAATATTTAAAGAACAAATAATTAGTCGGCAGTTTTCGAATAACACTAATAAAATCTAATAACCATCACTGACATTCTTCTTATTAATTTTTATAGGTCATGCCCATTATTTTATTCATTACTTCTTCGTAAAAAAACATATAATTTTTTTTAGCTATTTATTTAATTATTATTATCTACATATTTTTCTTAGTAGTTTTGATGTGCATTGCTTCTAGTGTGAAAGAAAATAGGTTTGCCATGTGATTTAAGATAGTGTAAAAATAATTTTCAAAGGTTTATAAAATTTTAAAATATGTTTCAGTTTCTTGAAATTGACGAGTTTAGGTTTCGAAATGTCCATCTCATATAATATCACAGTTGCAACATTGTTTGGCAATTAATATTATTATTTTCATAGTCTAAACCCTTAAAAATGTATCTGATTAATCATTAATCAAAATTAAGTAATATTAACTTAGTAATATAATTAGGAATTTGAGAGAAAACAAAAATTGTCTCATTTTATTAATTGTCTCTTTACTCTATGACAGGGGTTTCCAACTTACATGAAGCCGGGGGCCACAATTAAAAACACAAATCAAATGGCTGACCACAATTTTATCAAAATTTTATGCAGGACTCTTTTATGTTTACAGGAACATTAAATATCACTGTCAAGTTTTTACCAAGTTGTGCAAAACAAAAGTATTGAATTACAAATTGAAATAAGAAGTAGATTTTCAAGAATATCAAATTGCATATTAAAAAAATTCGGGCTACAATAACTTTAATGTGCACCTATGTATTAAACAATTAATGTGCAACAGATGCGTAATTGTTAAGATATAAAACTTTGAAAAGGCTGGTATTAAAACGTACATAGTAGCACACAAAATGTTAAATGAAAAAATTGGGTTTGTCTGCTGCAACCACCAGAGAATAGATATTTACATTTTAAATTTACAAATGTGTGTGTAAATATTTTCGTCCAAAATGAGTGGTTTCAAAAAGTTAAATCGGAGAATTTCCTCTAGAAAATTTCTGATACACACATGCTAAATTATGTTCACAAAATACAGAAAAATGAAATAAGGAACAGCAACATGCACGATTATTTTTGTAATTGAATAAATATTTTCTTGGATGCAAAACCTGATAAATAAATTTTTTTTGCAACGTTGGTATGTTAAATTTCACAAAAACGAAGAAATTAGGTTTTTATTAACGAGAAAAGTATTTTAAACCCATACAGATTTTTTANTTTCAAAGGTTTATAAAATTTTAAATTATGTTTCAGTTTCTTGAAATTAACGAGTTTAGGTTTCGAAATGTCCATCTCATACAATATCACAGTTGCAACATTGTTTGGCAATTAATATTATTATTTTTATAGTCTAAACCCTTAAAAATGTATCTGATTAATCATTAATCAAAATTAAGTAATATTAACTTAGTAATATAATTAGGAATTTGAGAGAAAACAAAAATTGTCTCATTTTATTAATTGTCTCTTTACTCTATGACAGGGGTTTCCAACTTACATTAGGCCGGGGGCCACAGTTAAAAACACAAATCAAATGGCTGACCACAACTTTATCAAAATTTTATGTAGGACTCTTTTATGTTCAAAGGAATATTAAATATCACTTTCAAATTTTTACCAAGTTGTGCAAAACAAAAGTATTGAATTACAAATTGAAATAAGAAGTAGATTTTAAAAAATTTCAAACTGCATATTAAAAAAATTCGGGCTACAATAACTTTAATGTGCGCCTATGTATTAAACAATTAATGAGCAACAGATGCGTAATTGTTAAGACATAAAACTTTGAAAAGGCTGGTATTAAAACTTACATAGTAACACACAAAATGTTCAATGAAAATATTGTCTGCTGCAACCGCCAGAGAATAGATATTTACATTTTAAATTTAAAATTTACAAATGTGTGTGTAAATATTTTCGTCCAAAATGAGTGGTTTCAAAAAATTGAATCGGAGAATTTCCTCCAGAAAATTTCTGATGCACACATGCTAATTTATATTCACAAAATACAGAAAAATGAAATAAGGAACAGCAACATGCACGATTATTTTTGTATTTGAATAAATATTTTCTTGGGTGCAAAACCTGATAAATAAATTTTTTTGCACCGTTGATATGTTAAATTTCACAAAAACGAAGAAATTAGGTTTTTATTAACGAGAAAAGTATTTTAAACCCATACAGATTTTTTACGAAAATTGTCCGTAAAAAAATTACAACTAATATATTTTAGTTTGTGGGCCACAAAAAAAAGCTTCGCAGGCCGGATGCGGCCCCTGGGCCGTCAGTTGGAAACCACTGCTCTATGATAAACAAATTTATGCCAATTCAAAAGTTAAATTATGGTTTCAAAATTGTGAAAAATGTTCTTGTGCAAAAATTTTTAATTTATTTTAAGGCTGAAAATTAAACAGAAATATAGTTACTAATCTATTATTTAGTTATATTTAGTTAACAGCAAAATCAGCATTTAGTGAGTTACAAAATTAAATATTATGTTAAAAGTTAAATTATTTAATTAAATAATGAAATAACTCTCCAAGGCAGATTTTATAACATTGCTTCAAAAATTTTTCTCGCTTAAGCAATATACAGAAAGAAATTATTCAAGTTATTGCAAAATTAAATATTATGTTTAAGCACAAATGTTTAATTAAACTGAAAAAATAATTTTTATAGAAAACTTTAACATTGTTTCAAAACTTTATCTAGCTTACAATATACAAATATTTAAAATATTTAGTTTACTGTAAGATTAAATGTATGTTAAAGTTCTAATGTTTAATTTAAGGGCAAAATAAATCTCCAATTCAGATTTAGCATTTATGTTTCACAAACTTACCTTGCATTGGCATTTTTGGATACTGAAAATAATGCATAATTTAATTTACAATAATATTATTATACATAATTATTATTTCCTTTAATGGAAAAAGAATCTTGAATTCTACATGTGACTCATAATCGTCAATAAACCGATCAAGTTGTTGCATTGTCAAAAAATGTTACATAGTTATATAATCACTTATTCGTAACTGCTAATTTAATTAAAGAAACAAGTATTCATCGTATCACGATTTACATTTTATCATGGAATCATAAAGTTGAACAGATCAGTTCTTGACCTTGATGAAAAATAAAGAATCTAAAGTAACGATTGTTCCTTTTTTCTTAAATATTTAAACAGATTCAATAAAAGATTGTTGAAAATTTAAGACATGCTCATTGAAAAGTCTATTATTGTATTTCATAAATTATTAAAGGAAAAATTGTTTCGTTCAGGCAAAACGATAGTGAACAATACTGTGAAGTTGAGTCTTATGACCTAATTAATTTTTCAGTGGTTTTATGACGTCACGACGTAATTGTCTGAAAAATATCAGATCATGTGCTGTTGTTAAAAGAAACTGTTAAATCACAAGTTTCGAATAATATTATGCATATTAATTTGAAAGATAATAAAATATTGCATATCCGATACCATATTGAGTATTTGTATGATATAGAGTAAGTCTAGGATAGATGGCCGTAGGGGTGAGATGTCAAATTTAAATATCTCTAATATTATCTCATATATTGCAGCAGTTACAGTTTCGCAGAAAGCAGTTTAACTTGCCTATCAATTTGGACAAAGCTTTATGGGATATCAAAAAGTATGTAAAATTTTAAATTATAATAATGAAATATAATTTTCAATATTTTAATTTTTCGTGAATTAGTAATTCTGTTGCTTTACAACGCGTAGATTGTAGTTTTTTCTTCTTCAACTAACTTGTTATTTAAACTGGAATTCAATACATATATATTTTGATGAATATTGTAATTAATTAAGGTATAATAAGGTAATAAAATTAATATTAAGGTAATAAAACACAAAAACTATGCTCTGAACTTAAGTATTCCGTAATGTATCATTAGACCAAAAAAAAAAAAAAAACGTTTGNTGATCACCGGTTAGAGATCCCTTGCTGTTATCTAACAGTGGAAGGTTTTAGCGCTTTTCAACTCCATGTAACGCAGGGGTGTCAAACTCGCGGGCCGCATGCGGCCCGAGATGAAAATTTTTGCGGCCCAGTCAATGTATCCGACGCAAAGCAAAGATAAAATAGAAATGTGAATTAGAAAGGAAACTAGCATATAAAATTATAATATGCTTTATTTATAAACTATACGGATCATTTTAAATTGTACGCGCGAAAATGTAAAATTTTAATTGGCTTGTGGTACCTGCCATTCCAGGGATACTGCATCGTATCAAAAATACGCAGAAAAAATTTCAAATCTTAGAACAGAATTTGAAACAAGGTTTAAAGATTTTAATTCCTTGGAAGACAATTTTTTTTTGTTTTCTTCGATTTTCTCAATAAATATAGACTCAATACCCAGTAATATGCAAATGGAAGTGATTGAAATTCAGTGCAACTCAAATTTGAAGGCAAAATTCAATGAAGTGGGTGTGCCTGAAATTTACAAATATTTACCGGCAAGGTTTGAAAATACTTGAAAATGGGCATATGAAATTATTTCCATGCTTGGAAGTACTTATCAGTGCGAGCAATTATTTTCTGTCATGAATGGAAATAAATCTCCTGTCCGAAACCGTATTAATAACGCTCATGTTCGGTCAATTTTGAAAGTAGTCTCAGCCAATAAAATTTCTCCCGAAATAGGAAAGATAGTAGTAGAGAAGAGATGACAAGCATCAAACAATAATTTTACTTTATATATGTTTATTATAATGTACTATTCAAAATAAAAATATTTGTTTCTATGAACACTGGTTTTTTTTTCTTTTTTTGCGGCCCACCTAAAGTTAAGCATTGTTTATTTGGCCCAAGTTAGCTTTTTAGTTTGACACCCCTGATGTAACGTAAATGCTGGTTAGTTAGAAAAAAAGTCCTTGAGGAGGGCAAATTTCTCGCAATAATTGATCCAAGAGTTTTCTTGCCTTCTGGATGGGGCTCAAAATTGCAAAGCTATGGAGGTGAACACTAGTGGCTGTAGACCAAAATTTGGGTCGGCTGTTCAATGACTATTAAAAAACAAAAAAGGAAATTAAAAAAGAAATGAAATATACAAGCAAAAGACATTACGTATTAAGAATTTTTGGGCATACAGTACTGTAAATCAAATTAGGAGGGAGGAAAACTGAGAAAAAAGAATATGTCACTGTGTCATGGACTCATGGTTTAAAACAAGGCCCCAAGGGAGAAATGTTGGAATAACTATAATAAATCTAAATAAACCATCGACTTTTCATCTGCTTTCTTAATTAATTCTACAAATTTTGTAAGGAATTATAATCTATAATAATAGTCTGTATTACTTTATATATTCTCTATTTTTATAAGTTAAACGCTATACAATATTTATTATATTTTTTGTAGACCCATAAAAAAATGTTGTTTTTTAAAAAAAATTAATTCTTCTACTTTAACTTCAATCGTAAAAGTAAGACATCATAATTTCATTTCGTTTTTTTCTTCGAATTTTAGATCTGAAGGAAATTAAGGTGTAAAAGTTAGTTACATTTTTTCATAAAAGTGTTCGTATTCAAATATGCTTTCATTAAACTATTGTAAAAATCTCAGAGTCATTATTCAATTATTAAATAATTTAAAAAAAGCTGTATAGAAAAAAGTAGCATAGAGATACTTTTTCGCAGAAATCAGAATAACCTAGACGCACCCTCCTGTATATCAAATAAAAGTTATGAATGATATTTTATATATTAAATGTATATGAATGATATTTTCATTGAAAATAGTTCATAGGTTTACATTTTAAACTTATGTTTGAATTTTTTTTATTTAATATTAAAATGTTATCCTTAATTGTTTGTATCGTATTTTTTCAGATCCCATAAATATGATAAAATCCATTAATGAGAAAATTAAGGAATTTTTTCAGGAACGAAATCAAGGATTTAAAAACAGGTATTTAAATGTTTGTATACACGTATTAGAATTACAGATGACCGGGAGAGCCTCGTTGGCAATGGTGACTGGTGCACGTTAAATCTGTCGGGTCTCAAAGTTCTTCATGTTCCCATAACAAATCATACCTCTGGTGGTACTGAGTCGGAGATTGATCGTTCTCTGGTTCAGGTCAAAATTACGATCTGTGGATGAATGAACGGAAGTATGAATGGGTCCGTCCTATAAGTAGGTGTGACGTATGGGTGTGGCAGAAGTTGAATTCTTGGCTATAAATAGCTCCACTGGAAAACAAGAACAATCGCAAGTCTTCTGCTTAATGGCTGATGACAACATTATCAAAATTACAGATGACTATTTTTTATGTGACATTTTTCAAGCTTTATAAGCCAAACACTATTTACTTATCGTAAAAAGCGTTTTAAGGAGACAAAAAGGACGTTAACTGAAAAAAAAAATTATACAATTTTGAATGTTAACTCCATTTAGATCTCGACACGTAGAAGAGAAGAAAAAGAAAGAAAAGCATTAGAGCAAAACGTTTTCTATTTTCTTTCCTTTTTCATTATTTATTTATTGTTACTTATTTATTTACTTATTACATTACTTATTTATTTATTGTTACAAATGCTTATGACGACTTGTGTGCTCATTACAAAGATGGGTTCAAAATCTTCGTCAAATTGAAAAACGGATAGCGTAAATTAGAGAAAGACATCATGAAGTTACATCCAGGTTTACAGCAAGATTTAAACTCTAATCATTCATGCCAAAGAGTTTAGAAAATCGGCATAACCATTCGCCTCTGTCCAGACCTTACGGATTCCTCCATACTTTTTGACTTATCAATACAAATTTGGGGGAACATAACATTTATCCAGGTATCAAATTCTCCTAGTAAAATAAATAAAGTAAAAAAATAATTAAAAAAGTTATAAAAGATTGATGGCAATTTTCGCCTAATTTTGAACGAAACGAGATCTTTTAACTACCACGTTATGTAAACAAAATATTCATTTCTTACGTAGATTAAACTTAAATTAAAAGGTGAGAAGTTTGTTTGAAAGTTTTAAGTAAATCGGCTGTATAATATTATACCATTTTTAATTCTTTATAAAAGCGTAAGATCGGGCATATNAGGAGTTTCAGTGTCATAGTGTAATAACTGTGATTATTACATCATCCACCATCATGTAATACTTTAAGAGATTTCATCATCCTTTTTGTCATTGAGAGGCGCCAGCGAGTCCAGATGGGGAAATCCCGAATTTATAATTAACTCTCTCTCTTCGATAGAACAATCTAATTTCTTATACACATGCGATTTGGTGATACTGCGAGAAGGCAGCTCTAACCAATCATGTCATTGTAATTTCCTTTTTATTTCTATTAAATGTTAAGTTTGATTGTTAAATCATCGTCGTTATTTCATCTTATGCTGCATAAACTCCTACATTGCGTATATATATATATATATGGGTGATTCTCACGAAATATGACAATTCACTATCCCTTGCTCCAAGATCTAATACTATAATACTAAAAGAACTTTATTTTAAAATAATTAATAAATTGCATTGCTGTTAGCATTTTAAAATGACTTTGCACTAGCATTGACTGTTTTGTACAGTTAAAAAATTTAATTGAACTTCAAAATGTCATTTTCCTGGCATGTCCCAAGCAATGTTTCCAATAATAACTAACTTCAAAACTTCCCATAGATTTTTCGATATCCAATTTTTTTATCTCAACCGGTGTAAGCATTTCTAGAATATGCGCAGAGGGTATTATTTACAAAAACTTCGCTTAAAATAATTTTTTCTGTCAATAATTTGTTTGTCCTAAAAAAATCTGTCATCTTCCTGGCTACTTTTATTTAGTGGTTTATAACCAAAATAGATAACGCCAGCAATCAATATCTTATTTTAATAGATTGATCAAATATCCTCCTATATGAACATGTCTTGTTGTATGAATAAAGAACTAATTTTCCGGTTCAAAATCTATTTCAAAAAATTTTTCAAGATGAGTAGGTTTTTATGTTGTCATTTTTCTGGCTTCTTGAAATCATTAATAACATAAACTACATAGATTTATCTGAGTTATTTTAAGAAATCCTGTTGTTTTCTGCAGAATGTAAACGTCTTAGGTCAAAATATTAAATTAAAGTAAAGTTATATGCTATAAAATGGCGAATTTGTCACTATCCTGGCTGTCATTTTGCTTGCTTAAGAATTCCGGGACATTGAATTGTTACCTTAAATTTCTTTTTAAACTGCTAATACTGTAAGGAGGGAAAGCAAATATTAGCCTAATACAAAGTTTATGTATGATTGTAATATGGTTGGATGTATTCAAAGTTATTTATTTATTTAATGGTTGATTATTATACACAATTTTATTCTGCACACATAAGCAACAAAAAAAAATTTGATTCTTTCCACAGTGGATAAAAAAGAATTATTTTAAGCAATTTATGGTCCATCTAACATAAAGGCTTAAGTTGAGTTACTTACTATTAACTTAAAATGACTGTTTTTTAAACTTCTAAGCTAATATGTCATTTTCCTGGCATTCAAGATTTGGTAAATTTCATTTTTTTTTTCTCGAGCAAATGTCAATAAACTACACTGCTGTCTGTCAGATATTAATGTATGTAACTAAAGAAGTATACAAAAAAAATTAAATTATTTTGAAGACCTTAAATTTGAAGAAATTTTTTGGTCCGAATTGTCATGTTTAAAAAGAATCACCCATATACCAGTACTTCGAACAAATGGCTTTTACATCATTAATGCAGAAAAAATATTTTGCTGGTATGCATTATCTAACAGCATGAAATCTGTGTTACTTTAAAA